ATCGGCTGAGGTGGTTCGGACATGTCCAACGGAGGCCTCCTGATGCACCGGTGCGTAGGGGAGTTCTACAGCTGGTCGATGATGTAAAGAGAGGTAGAGGTCGGCCTAAACTCACTTCAGAAGAGTCGGTTAAGAGAGACTTTAAAGATTGAAATATCTCCAAGGATTTAGCGGTGGATAGGAGCGCTTGGAAGCTAACAATCAACGTGCCAGAACCGTGACTTTTGCTCCTTTCTCTTTTGCTCCAATATCTTCCTTTTGTTTTGAGCCCTTTTGTGTTTCTCTTACCATTGGCTCTCTTGTGTTTCATCTCTAGTCTACCCCAACTTACTTGAGACTAAAAGACTATGTTGTTATTGTTGTTGTAGTGGAAAATTAAGGGGAATGTATGCGTGAGGGAGGTCATTTTCTCAAAAAAAATCTTGGTGTTGCATTATGAGTTGCAAGTTGAATTAACCCATCATAAGCCAAATAGTGTTTTAGAATTGGGCGGTACTTCAATTATAAACCCAATAATGCATCCATTCAAAAAGAAGATTTTTTTGCATTCAAATTTTATGAACTATGTATGAAATGATAAATAATATTATTACCAAAAGAGTTTAAAGTTTGCAGTGATGCTAAAATAAGTGAACACAAAGCAGATTTACAAATCAAACGCTTTCTATTTCTTCAAAATATGACTAAAATGTGAAGCCGGCCTGCGTGGTCTCGTGGGGTATATATTGACAAATTTGGTTCTATTTTCGAGATTCCCTAACTTATTGTTAAGAAAAGAAAATTAAATTTTTTTGAGATGTTGATGTGGAGCAGAGTTGTTGGACCATAGGATAGGATGTACACTTTCTGCAAGGAATCTAATTTAAAAAATGTGTATAATTTTTGTTTTTGATGTTCCCCATATATATGTATGAATCTGCCTTCAAACCAAGTGCCTTTTTTTCTTCAGCCATTTCCTGCTTTTGTCAGCGAGACTGAGCGGCAGAGGACTTTCTATGGAACAAAAGAAANCTAAAAAGGACGAAGTGTATTAGGACTTAGGAGAAGTTTGTTACAACTCACATTCGCATGAATACGTGTGTGACTGTGAATCGTCTAATAATAAACAAACCAGGAATAAATACGATTCATATTGGGATAAATTATCCTGTATAAACATAATGTCAAATATATATATTTACACAAAAGGGTCAGTCATCTTCTTCATTATAACTGTTTTTTAGATTGGAATGAGAATTGCAGTGAAAAACCAAAATGTGTAAGCTTTGTTATGATTTCCCTAGCTCCAGGGCGTCTTAACAATTTCGAGGGCCCTTGGGCAAGCAAGACACAAAGGGCCCGACAACTTAATTAAAATTTAAATATAACAATTGAGTATATAGTATTGTTTATAAGAGATAACTTGCAATGTATATTTAGCCAATAAAAAAAGCAGTACATTTAAGAAGGTAAAACAATAGTAAAAGACACCCTTATCTCAATATATAGGGTGTCTTTTTTTTTTTTTTTTTTTTTTTTTTTTNCCCCCTTTCAGACGGGCCTGCCTAGCTCAACAATAGCAATACTTGTTTTTTTTTTTCTTTTTAATCAAAAGAATTGTATTCAAGACATAAACAAGAAGAAAGAATGAACTTAATACTAAAAATTGCATTATAGTAACAAATAAATGAACAATATCTAGAATTTATTCAACATTCAATAAAGATTGATGAACACTAAGTTGGTACCATATTGGGGAGAGGCAATTTCTATTGATCTTCATGAAATCTAAGGGGGAAAAAGTATCAATGAGTATTGAGTATGATCCCAATGAAGAATGAACATTCAATTCTCAAGGAATATAAAAATGTAGTCAAAACATATTATTTGTATTTAATAATACAAATACAAAATAATGTACAAATGGAAAAATCAGTTAGTATATTGTTAAAGTTCGTTGGACGCTAACAATATAAAAAAAAAAAATCGCTGGAAGCTAGCGACGTTTGAGTAAACATTTTGTTAAATTAAATAAACTTTTAAACACTGTATTAGAAATTGATCTAGGCGGCGCCTAGACGGGCCTGAGCTGGCTCAACAGACAGGCGCCGCCTGGCGTTCTTAGGCGAGCTCGCAACGATTTTAGGTTTTTTTTGTATATATTTCGAAAAACTAATTACATTATTTTATTATCATATATTTTTTTTTATAATATATTAATATTATTATATAGACTTTTTTTTTTCTTTTTAAAAGAGGATCAATAGTGGACTTAACTGTGTGGATTTATTATAAGTTGAAATAGTTCTGTTTTGTAGTTAGTGAAAATAAATACAAAATAAGATTCTTTATCTAATTTTTTAGGCCCCGCCTAGGCGCTCGACGCTGGTCGAACACCTAAACGGGTGTCTAGCGACTTTTAGAACAATGCTTTTAAGAAAAAAATAATTTTTATTTTATTGATATGTAAAAATGATGATGTTTAATTTATTAACCATTTGCACTCCGATGCTCGACATGTACATGTGTCATTCTCCAAATTAGTCATGACCACGGTACGGAACCAGCCCAGCGAACATGCCCGAACCTACCAGTGGTCAACGATTGAACTAGCTTGGACAGTCAAGTTAATTATTAGGCGGCCATTAATTTTAGACAAATATATATAATTTTATACTCATCAAATTCATATTCTCAAAAATGACCTAAATAAAACTATGATTCTTATAGTGTAAATGTGTATTTATTTTTTAAAAAAATATACTTACTAAGCGCGAAGTTGTGAGAAAACAAAATTTGTGACTACGGGGTGGGTAGTTTTCGTAGTACTATATTTTGAATGGGTAAATGACATTAATCATTTCCACATTGCATGCCACATTTAAAAAATTTAAAATGGATGCACTTTGGACATCAATTATTCAAGTACCAAACTATGGGTCCACACAATTTTAAAAGTGATTGAAATTTTCTTAAATTATAAATTTTGGTTTGGCTGAGAAAAATTGTTGATTGTTGGATTGCCTGAAAATTTCACTGGTTAAACAAGTTTTAATGACTTCATTCTTCATCTCATTAATGGCGCGATCGCAAAAATATGTGTGAATACAATTGATTAAGTTGTGACATGGTATTTTAATTGAGCTTTTTTAAGAAGATATTTATATAAATAAATAAGGAATGCAACACAAAATAAAAACATGACGAGTAATCCACTTATAACTGGTAAACATACATAAGAGTCTAAAATACAAACTTAGGATTTTATCTGTAAGGCTGTTACGTAATTCAGAGTCGTATGCTTGTGTTGGGGCATGATTTGAATATTCTAAATTCTTGTCCTCACATAGTACACTGTGGATATAAATTTATTTATTAGGGTTAAAATTACTTAAAAGTACCTCTCAATAGTGACCAAACGATTCAAATAGTCGATGTCACGGTAAGGGTAATATGTAATACTACAAAGTTTAGGTCTCGTGTTCCTTAATTTGAGTTGGCCATTGGTTTTACTGTGAAATTAATCAGCTTTACTAACTCTTTTTTTCATTAAAGTAGAATAATGTTAAAGATTTTTTTTCCGGAAAAAGTGAAAGGAAATTGAAGTTATCAATATGAGCCGAAAATTTTGAATATTTTTATATAAATTGATATTATGTGATATTTTCCTTTTGTATACGGGTTAAGAGTTAGAGATATAGTTGTTGATTTTTGGAAAATGACAGAAATTGGGAGAAAACGAATGCACGACTCATTATATAGGATGTGAGACAATTCACTAGTGATATTATAACAGAAAATAAAGGATGGTGGATTGTCCAAAGTATAATATATATATATATATATATATATATATATAAATGTTTGATTATTTTTAAAATAATAACTATTTGCCGCAAAAAATATATTTAGTTACTGAATGAGGAAATTTTATCATCAAATTTGAATTCTTTAAAAATCATAAAATTAAGCCTAAAATAATCAACTCAAAATAGCTTTATTTATTTCCATAAGATACTGAGTACACTTAAAGTCACTAATTTTAAGAAGTTCCAAAAACAGAGAGCAGGGATAATGAAGTCCTAAAATTAAGCCTCATCCTAAAATTAAGTGAACCCTTATGCATCCCTCTTTATTATGCATCCCTCTTTATTCTTTTTCCTAATTTACTTTGGTCAATCCGCCAATTTGGTATGCATTAGATTTTCAAAAGCGCATCTATATGTATCTATATTTATATAAAAGGGGATCCTATTTACTATATTTAGTATCCAGAAAAGTCAACAACATTAAATGCTATTACTATTTCGGTATTAGAATATTTTATAATCATTATAAAATATTTTGAGGAAGACAATTTATGAATTCACTTACCATAATAATCTCATTCAGATTTATTAGGTATTGCACTACAACAAACATCCTTAGTAGGAACAACTGAATATTGTGCCTATAACCATCAAAATCGTGTCTATTAACATATTGCAATGACATGTCGTTGCAAACATGTCGTGCCAATAGACGTGTGTCTATAGATCTATTGGAATGCTTAAGTCGTTGCTATAAATGTAAAAGTAATAGACACAACTTTTGCCGTGTCTATTTCTTGTCCAGCAGTTCCATGATTTTTACTAATAAACCACAACCAATGTTGTGCCAATATTGTTGTGCCTATTGGTCAAATTAATTGAAATGACAAATTGTTCCAATTCTCGGGTTGCTATAGACATTAGGAATCATAAATATTTGTTCCAAAACGATTAAAACCAAGAAAATTATTGCAATAATTTTGTGATCCAACTCAAATGAAAGTCACGTAATAAAATGATGCTGAAATAAATTTATCATTCTAATTGATTCAACCAAACTATTACATCTACAACATGAACAAATAAATATTGGTTCAATTTGTTTCTATAAACTTAAGAACTTACAAAAGAGAAAAATACATACCAAGTAGCCAAAATGAAGCACAATACAACTATACATTTTAAATTTTCAAACTTGAAGCATGTTTATCTCTATTGCGCCAAATCAGCATCATTACCCTTCTGCTTATTCTTCTTCCACATTATCTGAAGTCCCAACTTTTGCTTAAAGTAGATCAATTGTCTTGACACCTTGAAAACTAGGATACATATAACATTGAAAATCTTATAAAAATTATTGCTTTAGCAAGAACAAAAAATATAACACTAAAAAGTATAAAAACAAAAGGGTAATGGGATGATCATGCCTTATAACAAACTATTGCACAATATCATAAACCACAATATTACACATTATTTCACACACAAACAACAATTGAAGTATTGTCTGCCTCCTCCACCCCCAACCCAAAAGAGAAGAAAATGAATGATATAACACAAGCATTCTTTAAGAAAAAATAACATTATCTATTATTTAATAGAAGCAAAACTTCATTCCAATTAATACCTGCAAGATCAGTGAGTCGGCCAGCACCATTGCTTTTAGGGCTTAGAACTGAAGCAAAATATTAGCATAACTTTCCCATAAGTGTCTTATCCATAATCTATAAAATAAATTAACAAAAAGAAAAAGAACAATCAAGAAACCTGAGGGAAATGATTCGCATAGCAGCTTCCCAATTGGTTGAGGTTTGGTTGACTCAGAGTTAAGATCAGATATATCATCTTCTAGTACTAAGATCTAGTAGAATTCTAAAAATCTGCACCATAAGAAAGTAGTTTCAACAGAATATAATATGTGAAACCATGCTTATACTATTAACATATATTCATCATTGAAAAAAGTATATAGGACAAGTTCTAAACATACCACCAGGCAATGAAACTCTTAATGAGAGGATGTACAAATATTTCTCCAAACTAAATAAGATCTAGCTTGACCACAAACTCCTGCCCTGCAACCAAAAACGTCCCAACTAGTACTCAAGATTTGAACGTAAGCAATAATCTCATAATTAACTCACATGTAATGTTTTCTAATCAGAAATACATCACGACAATCAAATAGATAACAAAAATGTATTATACCTTTACGCTTGAATGCAGAGATTGGCCAAGAGCTGACACAGAGGCATTTGATGTTGTTTACTTTTCACCTTTGCATTCCTTATACAACAGAGACAAACCATCTTAAAGAAAATCTCCTAATTAGTATTAATCTTACAATAGAAGATAAAACAAGTAGAAGATCTCACCACAAACATTGAAAAGCAACTGGAAAAGGCTTAAACATTGAGCTCAGAAATGGAAAAATAACATAAGACCATAAATAACTCCAAATTATGTTCAACACAATCGCTAAATATCGCAAGTTAAACACTAGACAAATGCTCGTATTTTTACCTCATATTCCTTCTTTAGCACATCCACATAACACAGAACAAAGAGGACTGAGCAAAGTGCAGTCAAACTAATAGATTTGTTGGAACCATAGACATAGTCAGGCCTAGAAAATTGGAAAGTGAAACAAAATTAAATCATCAAAATTTTCAAGCAAGTTTAGACAACTAATTACATGAACAACATACATAACAAATAAAAAAAGAACAAAAATAGCATAACTTCTTATTCAGAATCACGATTGAAAGAAACCCTAACAAAGAAAATTAAGATTAAAACTTGTAGATAACCAAATTCTGTAAATTCAAACAACTTAGAAGGACAAGAAGTTTCAAAAGGGTAGAGAGAATAAATGACCTTCAATTTTACGGCCGTCGTAGGAGAGAGTAGTTTTCCTAGGACGATTTCCAGAGCAGATCTATAATTCATCATTAGCACCTCCAATAAATTCGCGGACTCCGTCTCAACAAAGCCCAAGGTCACCATCTAAGATCGACTTTGGACTCGTTTTTTGTCCAGATCGTTCTTCTTCTTTTGGCGCTTCAACGAAAATGGCCCCTTTTGTGAGGAATCACATTACAAAAGCATTTGGTTTTGGCGCTCGGAGTTAAAAAATTGGCCGCGTCTTTTTTGGGTTCCTTTCAATTTTATTTTTTATTATTTACTTTCTTAATGGAAAGTGTTCCAAAAAAATATAACTAGTAGTAATTTTAATTGGAAAAAAATATATTTTATAATTTTAAAATTTTCTTAATAATTAAATATATAATTTTATTTACAATGATACTAATCACTTGTAAAATTTACAAGTTTATATTATAATATTTATTTAGATTCTAAATACCACAATATGCTATATAAGTTTAAATTAATAGATAATAGTTTTTCAAATCTCCAAAGAATAACACGATTGTGTGGTTATGACAAAGCCATACGAGTCGTGTGACGAAGTTTGACCAATTAAAGACTACGAATTTTTGCGTGATTTCTTTCATTTCTCAATGGGAATTCGACCTACACTATATAAGGACATTTGAGACTCGTCCATAGATACTTTTGGAGGATTCGGGACACCTTTGGAGGCTATGAAAAAACACAAGACAAGTGATTAAGATCGGGAGGAAGAGATTTGTTGTTATGCGAAATTGTAACAACTAGAATGAGCAATAATCTACTTGGAGTACTCAGCTCAACGAATATTATCAAAGATTTGAGGTTCTAGTATAAATAGAAGTGTTGTTCATAATTGTGATTGTATTTTATTTATTGCCTCTCTAAGAAGGTTATATCCTCTGTCTCATTTAATGCCTCTGTTTTTCCTTTTATAGGAAATATGAGAGTAATTGGAATTACAATCCGCTTTTGGATTTTTTCTTTTTGTTTCTTAGATATTTTGAAATATTTATGGCACATCAACATTTAATGCTTAGTACTTCCTGGGTAGAATTTTGATACAAATGTCATTCTCTACTTTCGACACATGCCCCAACGGGCACAAATCGTGGGATCAAGGATTTTTATGTCGTGTCACATGTCAGTGAATCAGATATAGATAATATGTTGATTGGATTCGCATCAACTGAGCAATCGGTCCGAGTTGGAACTCCTTCCCTATATCTGTCCCTCGAGCGATTTCTGCTCGTTCAGGCCGTTCAAAGGGCAAAATCTGTCTATACTCGTTCCTACCAGAACTCGTGATCATCCTCTCTGTTGGGATTTGTGATGATCTCGTTATGTACAAATCACGAATTCAATAGCAAACGTAAACCTATGCGCAACGGATCTAAATGCTTGACATAGAGAACTTACGACTTAAAATTTTATGGCAATCTGGCTGATCTTCAGGATGGCCGTGAACAGCACACGAACAGATGGATCACGCGAACGGAACATCGGGGTTGGCTCGTGTTGATCAAAAAAGTCGTGTGGGGATGTCACCGGACGCGCGTCTCGCCGGCAGTCCATCGCAGGGCTGACTGGTAGCGACGATCGTCCGGCGGGTCTAGTCGGCGGTCCTCGGGCTCGGCTTGTGTGTTTGTCCCATTTTTATTGCATTTTTCCTTGTTATTTTTCCTTTCTTTTTCCCCCATATTAGGTTTTTTAGTTAGTTTTTATCTTGTTTTGTAGTTTATCGTGTGTTTTTCTCTATCTTGGTTTTCTTGTGTTTTCTGTATGTTTTTCCGGTTTTTCTTGTTTTTGGTGTGCAGGTCAGAAGCCCATGAGGAATAAGTTTAGCTTGAAAATGGGCTGGGAAATCATGGTTAGATATATGGGTTCGTTGGCTACAAGTAGGAAAAAGCGGAACTCAATTCCGAGTTCAGACGAATCCGAACGGGGCCGAAACGTAAAGTCCAGTAAGCTGCCAACCTTTTGAATGTTGGAAAACTCTATAGGATTGTACTATTGGAAAAATCTGGTCATGAAAGCATCATTGAATAGAGAGGTTCGTTAGCTACGCGTAGGAAAAAACGGAACCCAATTCCAAGTTCGGACGAGCCCAAACGAGCCCAAAACGCAAAAGTCGCGCAGCCGAGCCAGCAGCTCCGCGCGCCGCGGCGCGGCACTGGCCCCCTCCGCGGCGCGGCAACCCTCCACGGCGCGGCACTGATCCTCTCCGCGGCGCGAAACAGCCCCACGCCTGGACAGAGACTTTCCAGAACATCCCTCCGCGCCGTTGCACTCCACCGCGCCGCGACACCTGCTCTCCTCGCGCCGCGGCAGCCTCTCCACGCCGCGCCATGTGGATCCTTCACGCCGTGCCAGCCTTCCACGCCCGTGACTCGTGACTGCCTATAAATATGTGTACGGGACCAACAAAAAAAGAATCTCCCTCCTAGGGAGTAAAAACCCTAGGCCCGATAACTCCACGACAGAACTCCTTTCTCTGCTTCTTCTTCTTCGTTTTTCCTTTTCTTTAAACCTTTATTTTCCATTTTTCTTCTTCTTCTCTACATCTAAGGATTAAGCTTGTATTTTAAATTCAACTTTGGAACTTGGATTGATTGTAAGTACTCACTTCTCTTATTTGATTCATGAATAATGGTTATCTGAGAGGAATGATTATGATTGTTGAATTTGATATTCGTAGCTAAGTCTGATTGCTAGGGATAGGGGATGATTATTCTTGTTTAACGTGCATTTGTCGGGCTCAAGATTGTTCATGCTTATGTGAGTTGAATTGATTAGGAATTGATGAATTTGTGCTTGATAGTTTGATATAATCAAAGGGTGACACTTCGATCTTGCAATTGGTAACGATTGAATATTGATATGTCGAGTTAGGATTTGTTGATTACATATGATTAGTCGATTAAACACATTCTAATTGAATTAGCGACTTTTAGAACCGAAAGGGGAGAAGTCGTAGACCTAGGCTCGCATGAGATAGATGATTTCGTAGCTGAATAATCTATGGGTTGAGATTGAAATACGTGCTTGTCGATGACCCGTCCCTTGTTACGAAAAGTTATTGGGATTGGGATAATTGGCCTGTGTTGTATGCTCGAGCTTGTTCGTCTATGTTCAATCCCTTGTTACGAAAAGTTATTGGGAGCGAACCGCTAGATGTTTAAGCGAGAGTGTCAATCTCGAACCGAACAATTGACTGCCCGGCTTTGCTAGAACTTGAATTAATTATCCCCGACTCTCTAGCTTCTTCATCTTTGTTCCGTTTATATTTTTAGGTAGATGATTGTTTTATTTTATTTCTTAGTTAATAATTCACCCAATCTGCTATCTGATTAGAGTGTTTAGGATTTACTTTCTTTTCGTGTGTAATCGACACCAAAGCTAAATTCCGAACCGCCTTCCTCGAGAGATCGACCCGAGGTCGGGAGTCATCTCGTACTCGGTAAAAATATAATTTGCTACAACATCGTGGATCGTCGATTACTGTATAAGATTATCGGGACGACAAAATATGATGAAGCCATGCAATAGCATGACATATTGTCATTCCTAAAAATGCAAGCTTATAGACACAAAATTGTCATCTATTAACACAACATATTGTCATCCCTAAAAATACAGGCTTATAGACACAACATTGGCCTTGTAGGCACGACTAATGTCGTGTCAATAGTGCCGTCAATTTATAGACACGACTATTATTTGTCGTTGCTATAAAACTTTTAATTGGCACAACTTCATTGTTGTGCCAATTTTGTCGTGCCTACTAAGCTTGTTTCTTGTAGTGTTGATTGAGGACATTATAATCATATTTTTTATTATTAAACATAGATTAATCGTAAAATATTAATTTTATATATATAATCGATCAGAATTTTATTATTACACATAGATTATTATATTGCATTTAGATTTATTAGGTAATGATCTAAACATATAATAATTATGTATAATTTAGGGTTACATTTATATAGATCAATCATTCATATTTTTATAATCATTATATTTTTAATCCGAAATTTTACGTACTAAAATTTACGAAATAAATTTATAAATCTTACAGTTTTCAGAATGAATTCAATACGAAAAAAATTTAGTCCAAATTTACGTGTGGTTTTGAAGTGAAACTTTGAAATTCAAAATCTCTTCTCATTTTAGTTACAAGAAAATCGGGCTGCATTCAACACTTGGACCAATTTAAAAATTATTTCCTTAAATGAAGGAATTTATAGAATTGTTATCTCTACTCAATCACATGATTATTTTCAATATAAAAAGAGATAGATTACAAATTAGTGAATCATATATTACCTAATTCAATATCTTAATATTAAGGAATAAATCCATAGTATTATGTAAATCCGTATCTCATATTATTATATAATTTAGAATATATTATAGTTATATTATCAAGTCATAAAAAGATATTAAACCCATATTGTGAAAAAAATAATTCATATAATTTTATAACAATTCTACTACACTATTTAACAGTATTAATTTTTATTATACAATAAAATAATAATTAAATATTATATAGTGAACAGTAGTAAGTAAAACTATTACTTTCTCTTAATTTCAAGGGATAAATTTATATGCTAAAATTAAATTTTTATTAGTATAAATATTTTAGTGAGATAATATATTAATTATTTTACAAGCTAGCCCTAACTTAACATGTTCATATTTAATGTTCTGGCTAAAAAAACAACGCTGGTTAAAAGATGTGGAAAAAAACTTATAATAATCCTATTGTTTTTAAGACTTAACGTTGATTAAAAGAGGTAGAAAATAGATAATAACTCTATTATTTTTTAGACTTAAACAGACAAGGATGTAAAAATAACTCATTTAATATCTCTGTCTCGTGCATCGCACGGGATACGTACTAGTTTAGACCATTAACCGTAACCTTCAGCAAGTAATTGAAAAGGCATTGGTTTTCATTTTAAAAATAATTCAAGTGATTAATTATTGCATAAGTAGTTTGAAATCATATTTTATAATTTTGATTATATATTTTATGCCACCTTGGCTCTTATGAACTTGAAGATCTTCCCTACTATTAGTACATTCCC